ATTAATTTGTAAAATCTAGTTCATATGTGCACTATTCAATCTAAGATCAACTTGCTAAATATTCCATATCCAATGCCAAACAAATGAATTTTTGACACATGAAACAAAACTGTAAATCATTTTTTTAATAAGTAGAAATATTTTTTTTGCATTGTTAAATAATTTAGTAAAGCAAACCAAAATGCGACATGCATAAGTTTGAACAAAAAATGTATATGAATTTTTGGACTTATTGCGTTATTAATTGAACAGAATTATATAATTTCATCTGCCAAACATATACTGTTGAATGTATCTTATATTAATTTAATTTCTAGCACATCTTAGCAGCTTTTTGGCAATAATACTATAGAAGTGTAGACATTATATGTTTCTTATATATTATATTCTAATATTATCTAGACTCATAATTTCAGCTAAATTCAAATTTCAAGTGGATTGACATTTCTAGCAGATGACAGTTCAAATGTTTTCAATGTCAAACAATAAAAGGTTTTTTGTAATTTTTACCATTTATTTCTTAACCACTTAACCTCTAATTAAATCCTATTCATCATGGAATCAAGATTAATTTTGCAGCAAAATATTTATTTAATTGGTGATGTAGAAACTCAAATTATTATTTTGATTCTATGATGAATAAATATTATAGAACAGTCCACATGTATTTAATTAGAAATTAAGTTGTTTATTAATATTTTTGTGTCATAATATTTGAGTTTACAAATACTATACAGATGGCGCAGAATTTACTTAATGACGTATGTTAATAACAAATATAAGAAACCTTCAATTGGCGTGCGCTCTATCTAAATGTTTATATTAAGAGCTGGATATTCATTTTTTATTCATTTGGATGCATTGGCGCCCTTGGGAGCAAAGAAATTCGAAAATGTCATTATTAAGGACCACCCTAATATATATATATATATATATATATATATATATATATATATATATATATATTAAGGCATTGGCAAATAAATACTTGACAACTTTTATAAAAATTTATTATACTACTACATATATTACACATTTACATCTTATGTACAAACTTTAACATTTATTAATGCTATTGGACGTTATATTTCGTAATATTTTTAATTAATCGAAATTACATAGATTACGTAATTTTTAAATATACACAATTTAATTGCAACGTGCATAAACTTTATAAAATTTATGCAAACAACCAACAACTTATTCAACAAAAATCTAGTTCTTGATAGTATTTTTCTTACTAAGTAATATTTTTCAGCTACGTAAAATTGATGATTTATGATCATAATTCATCATAAGAACACCTAAGCCGTTATTTTACGATATAACACAGACCATTTGCATTGGAGGCCTGACAGAGTGAGGTCGATCTTCCATCAATTCTGGGTCTCGATACCTAAATGCCTCGAAAGAATCATCAGATCCTATAAAAATAATTGTTTTATCAAATATTTAAGGCCAATTATAATATTATTCAGTTTTTCCTATTTTATCTATTCATTTACGCACGCATATGTTGCGTGGGACTGTTGTCAAGTATCATTTTAGAGTAGTATTACCACGTGGTTTTTGTAAAATAAAATGTTTAAATTGAAATTTTGTACAGTAATTATTTCAAACAGAAATAGTACTATTCATCGTATTTTAGTACAACTTTTTATTTAATTTTTAGCAAAAATGTCCAGAAATAATTTTGTTTTATATTAAACGAATAAAAAGCACACTGCTAGCAGTAGATGTATTAACTTTCTGAAGGAGAAGTTTAAGAAGATCCAATTTAGTAATTTTATACTTCTGAATCGAATGAGACCAAATTTGTTAAACATTTAAGCATTCATATTATTGTAATTATTTCAAACAAAAATAGTCTTGTTTATTCTATTTTGATACATTTTTTTCTGTTATTTTCACCTATACGAGAAATGTTTTTCTTTATATTAACGAATGAAAAGCACACTCTGTTAGGAGTGAATGTGTTAACTTTCCGAAGAAAGTTACAGAAAATGCAATTTGCTAATTTTATATTTCTAAATCGATTGAGACCTTTGTTTAACGTTTTACAATTTTATTAACATTTATTGTTGGGCACGCATATGCTGCGTGAGACTGTTGAAAATAGTCAGGCACCTACCTTTTAAAGTGGTATCTTTAGTAAAATAAATTGTTCAAATTAGAATTTTGTACTATAATTATTTCGAGCAGAAATAGTCTCCTATTCATCCTATTTTGGTATATTTTTTTAAATTTCCAGATATTTTATGGTTTTATTTTATATTAACGAATTAGAAACACAATGTCTTAACTTCCTGAAGGAAGTTTCATAAAATCCAATTTGCTAATTTTATTTTCACGACATTTCAAGTCATTTTGAAACAATAGACCAAATTTAGAAAAAGCTATGTCTGTGTGTTTCAGCCGATTTTTGACCTTTCATCCAAGTTCTCTCTGATACGTCGAAATCAATTTCGAAAAATGTGACTGTTTTTTTTATAACATATATCCGTTTCTTCAAAATTTGCAGCAAAGTGTGAAATATAACCAAAATTTACGAAGGGGAGAGAGGGGTTAAGTAAGATATTACGTGTATTCATTTTTTATCTAGATTCAAAGAAAGGAACATAAAATTTTACTTTTTTTGTAAAATCGAAAAGTACGTTTCGATAATTTTACTTATCTAAAAATACACGTAATATTTGGTGGGAGAGGTGGGGTGGTAATTCTAAATATCACGATGTATCACCAAGGGGTAGGGAGGATAAAAAAAATCCAAAAAATCTATTCCGTGATTAATGGACGCTTTCTAAATACCTCAATCTTACCATGCGAATATAACCATGCGAAGTTTCATCAAAATCCTAGAAGAGTAAACCTGATGGTTACCTTGTTAGTTTTTATTGATGATAGGTTGATCATGTACTACACGTATCGGCGTGTTCATGCAACTTGTTAAGGCAAAATGCCACTTACAACTAATTACCTAATGATTCTTCGCTAGCAATCTTTCCCAAACTCGGTCTACTCCTCTTGATGGAATAACGGATAACATTTTTCCGTTTTTTGCCAGGTTTAAAATTCACACGATCCTGTTCTACTACTTTCCTTGGCCTGGTGTATTCCAAGTAAAGCTCCCTTAAACAGGATTCGATTACTGCATAGTTTCTTATTATAGGATGGGACTCCATGAATATTTCCATTGTTCGGAATATTGAGAACCACGTCAGTTTAGGATCCACTAGTTGCCAATGTAGTACTCCCTTGATAGAAAAAAATAAAAATAATTTATATGAAAAATTAATTAATATGTAAGTTGTGAGTAAGTTACATCACGTTCGTATCGGAGTTCTCCTGCAATTCTAGCTGATATGTCTGACTTCAAATCGGCAAGTTGTCTAGAAATGATAATACATTAGATTTGTGGGTTTTTCAATGATTTGTTCGATTCCTAAAACATAATCATTAACCAGTTAACTGTTTATGCTCTTAAGAAACAGTCCACACAGTTTTTTGTAGTCTGAATCGAGCTCATAACGAATATATTGGTCAATTTCAGAGTAGGTAACGCTGCTAATAAATTGCCTCAAAAATGTTATTTTTATAGCAAAATCTTAATTCGTAATGATTGAATATATTGTTTTCACATTTGGGAACGTCCATTAGTCACGTAAAGCTTTGAGGGGCAGAGGTGGTGGTTTGATAAAAAAAAAATTACAAAATGTTAAGTGGGAAAGAGAGGGGTCTAGTAAGATATCACATGTATTCATTTTTTCACCTAAATTAAAAAAATACGTTTTTTTTGGAGAATTCGAATAATTCGTTCGAAAAATTTTGCATAACTAAAAATACACGTGATGTTTGTTAGGGTAATGTAAAATATTACGACGTTATCACCAAGGGAGAGGGAGGGTCCCAAAATCCCTAAAAAATCAATGGACGCTTTCCGATAGTTTATTGAAACTTGTCTTGAAGGTAAAGTGCCACTCACAACTACTTATTT